ATTTGCCCATAGACCTGCAGTCTGATGATTATTTTAGCCAAACAAATTCTTTGAATTGGGGACTACGTTGGCGTACAAAAGCTTTCCCTTTCATATTTGTTAGAGCTAAAGAAATCTTGTTACTTATTTAAGGAGAAGTCCTCACTCTCCAAGTAAGACACCAATTAAAGACAAAACAAGTTAACATGACAATAACTCACTTGAGTTTGAAAGAGAGAAATAGGAGGGCTTTTGAAGAGCTGGAGAGTGATATTGTAAAAACTAAAGATAATTGGTATCATTATTTTGTCTCTATTTTTTTGGGACCCGATATGAATAGGGTGAAGGATTCTGGACATGTCATAAATAGCATTACCAATGTGTAAATACTTTTTTGTAAATGGGTTGCGCCCTCTTGGTGTTATAACAATATTATACTGTTTATACTTTTTATTTCAAAAAAAATAACTCACTTGAGTTTAGTAAAACTCTGAACACATCACTAACAAGTATAGTAGCAAATATGAACAAGATTAACAATTCCTATCACTTCCATAACTGGATTGTGTTGACAAAAACATATTTGAACTTGGCCATTGAAATTTGTGCAACTCTGAAAGCTTATCTAGAGAACCAGAATTTTCAGCTTCCACTGTTTGTGCATTTTTTTAGTAGAAAACAACTCTTATCTAAGATCACCTGTCAAGAAACCCTTGGCTGTCTACTACAGAAGGAGGCAAAAAAGGAATTTCAACCAGGGAGGGCAAAATGGTCATTTCACCCGAACAGATTAGGGTTAGGGTTGATTGCCGAATCCACCCTAATCGTTACCATCATATACCGCGGCTACCGCTACAACCAAAATGGCCGAGCGAATTCTGCCACCATCGCCATTTGTTTTTAACACTTGTAGCCTATAAATTGGCCTGATTTTTATAAATGTAAACCATCGAAGAAAATAAACAATTTACCTTAAAGTTGCTCTTCTTTTTCTCTATTCTTTCTCTCTTCTTTTCTCTTTTCTTATCTCAGATCCGAAGCCATGAGAACGACTTCTGACAAGATGGTATCAGAGCCATCGAAGTCAGCTGAATCACACGTCGGGGTCGCCTCGTGTACTCAATCCAAGGAGAAGGTGGTGATGGTGGAATCGAAAAAAGTAGAGGCGGCCATGGGATATGATAGTAACGGTTAGGGTTGATTCGGTCAATCAACCCTAACCATAATCTGTTTGGATGAAATGACCGTTTTACCCTCCGTGTGTGAAATTCCTTTTTTTACCCTTTCCTTTTGTAGTAAGTTAGGGGTTTCTTGACACCGCAATTGAAAAAAGCAACATTTCAATTGAGCTTAGCAGTAAATTAACAGACTCTTTCATAAAAATGATATGACTCATGGATTTGATGACAAATGAGACAAGAATTTTATCATTCTATGATTCAAATAGGAAAACAAGGAAGCAAACTGAAAAAGCATTAAACTCTAGACAGGGTGTAGATAAAAGGAAAGTCATGAATTCAAAGTTTCACTTGTAGATTCTTCTCTAAAAAGAAAAGTTTCTCAGAATAGATACTAGTAGACAGTTATCTATATTAGAAACGAAAAGAACATAATCCCTAGTTGAATATTATGAAACTCAAGAAATTTGATGAATAAAAATGGTAAGATCTTAGGATCCGGTGAGATATGTGGAATTTTAGATTTAGGGCTCGTTAGAGAAAACAGACCAATCTCTAGACTTAAAGGTACTCTACAAGGTATTTTTGCTTAATTATTCTCCGATTTTTTATGCAGTCTGCTTGCATATTTAAACGGACACTTTAGACTAAGCTTTCCTATGTTAACATACATTAAAACTCTGTAAATATAAAAATTTCCGAGTCATGAGAAATTCCTTTTTTATTCCGAAGTCCTAATTAGAAAAATTAAGGAAACTTCTAACAAGTAAAAAATGATATCCTATCTCATCTCAAACTCCTATCCTAATGTTCTCTTTTTCCTAATTAAACCTAAACTTTCAAAAGCTTATGGAGATCAGACCAGATTTCCTCTCTCCACCGTGAGGTCCATACTGACAGTTTTTCCCTTCTTCCGCTTTCTTCTTTTCCTTATACTGATTATTACGGCATAACAGAAAGCCAATTTAAGAGTTTA